TTCAAGCTCTCATCAGCAGCAGTGGTGGCCAGCATCTGTCCATCAGGGCTGATAGCACTGTGGAGGACACGGGTCTCGTGAGCAGGGATCTCAACGTTGCGGACCAAAGTTGGGTAGCTCCAGATACTGAGAGAGTTGTCGGGGAAGCCGCTAGAGCTGACGATCTCGCGGTAGTGGTTGCTCCAACGCAGGGAAGTGACTTGGGAGCCGGTGTCAATGCTGTTGGTACGGGCACCGGTGGTGGTGTTCCAGAAGTGAATGTGACGGTCGTAGGAACCACCGCCTGTAGCAAGTAGGTTAGATTGCCAAGGGCACCAGCTTAGAGCCTTGACGGCGGCGCGATGGTTGGTCTTGGTGAACTTGGGAGCACTCAGAGAGCGAGCATCCCAGATGTTGACGAGGTTGTCGTTTCCACCAGTGGCGAGCTGAGCGCCGTCAGCGCGCCATTCGAGACCGCAGACTTCAGAGGTGTGAGAGACTAGCTCGGCAATCTTGTGCTCTGCGATGCGAACATCGTGGTTGTAGACAAGACCACTACGAGCTCCGGTGGACAAAGTGTGCTTATTCCAGCCCATAACACCCACGCGGGAGTCGTGGCCGTACATGCTGCGAAGCTTGGAACCTTCTTCAACATCCCAGATCTGGACCTCACCGGTTCCCAAGCCAACACCAACATAGGCACCATCACCACTCCACTTCACACTGCTCACGTATGTGTCGGGTGAGGTTTCCAAAAGGCAGTTGACAGAGCCAGACTCAGCAGACCAGACATAAACGTTTCGCTCGAGACCGATGGCGACCTGGTTGCCAGAGCTCCAGTCAAGCAAATTGAGATAGTAGTCATCCAAAAGACCGGGGGCATCCAAGACCCGTTCCGGTGCAGTTTGAACACGACGACGGAACTGGGCAGCTGTAGATTTGGCAGGGCGGAGGGGGCGGTTGTATTGAGCACGAAGATCAATAGGCTTCGATGACTCAGGAGGGGGAGGCTTAAAGGCGAGGATGCGAGTGTTCATGTTAACACCACAAGCTTCAGCCAGAGACGACTTGTAGGCCACGGCGTCAGGAGCCGGGCGAGTATAGGTAGGAGGCTCATTGTCATCCAGGCCCAAGTTCTCCAAAGCAGCAGTAAGGTCATCATCTGATCCACGTGCCCCAATATCAAACGCGCTGGCCGCGGAGGCAAGGACTGATGATCCGTCAGCCCCACCACTCTTAGGGCGTTGCTTTTCTTCTGGCTTTGCGGCCCCGCTAGTAGCTAGACCCTCGCTTGCGGTCCGGTTTGGAATAAAACGGTCACCAGCGTTATGAGGAATGCGCACAGTTGTCTTGCTAGCACGAGCGCGGGTAGGAATTTCCCGGCGGATGTGTTCCTTGGAAGGGGTGTTCGCCGTCGTAGCACTTGTGCCGGTCAAAGTCCAGTCGGAGACACCGAGCTCCAAGTGCTTGGGTGACTTGCGGGTGCGGGTGCTAGCAATGTTCGACTTATTTGTCTTGGGAGATTCACGGTGGGTGGTGCGGGATGCTTTGGAAATTGACTTGGCGAAGTGGGCAGAGAGGTTTCCACCGTATACTGACTTGGCTTGACTGCGGCCAGCATCAGACTGGCGAGGAGGTGTGAAGGGTGACGAGTTGCCGCTTGCGCGGGGGTTGGGCGAAGGGCTCAGAGGCATACGGCCTCCAGCAGTCTTGGAGGAGAAGAGCCCATGGTGGCTCTTCACCGGAGTCGATGCAGTAACAGAAGCCATAGTAATTAATATATGATCAAAGTAGATGTAATGGGACCAACCCCAATAGAAGATGCAATACGAATCGATGCAGAGGTTAATATGAGATCAACCAACAGAAAAGTATGCAGACAATTGAGGATAGTGAGATTGAAGAAGAAAAGGAAAGGGAGTTCAGGAGAAAAGCGAATAAATAGAAGGTAGTTACTATACTCGTTGCTGAAAAGTATGAGGCTCTCCCCATAGCAACGGTTACCTGAGCTACATAGCGCATTAAGCCATATCGGGACTAGCGTTCACATACTGCGCTTGCCTACTTTAGTAACACTTGTCTTGGCATTTATTTCATGACAATGGCCTGATTCAGTGATGCAAGAGCAAAAGAAGGTGAGAATCTATACAGAATATATCTTCTATATACCTTAAAAGGAGAAAATGTTATGACCGATTGTGCCAGTTGCGGATACAATTTCAAGCGCCCCTTTTTGCCACTGGGATGGCGCATCCATCTCCTCTTTGCAACCCCCACCACGTTCCTCACTCAATTCCACCGAGACCCACCACGACTTCTCCCTGCCTGGCCGGGATCTTTGAGGGTCTCTAAGCCGACATTCTGCTGTAGTCCCTCTATGGCAATGCAGGACGCCTTCCTGATGCCTGCCAGTCAGACTGGCGGTTGCCGGACCAGCGCGGATTATCGACCCAGCATAAAAAAGGCCCAGGGCCATGTCCCTGCGTGCCTGGTCAATGCCTCGGTGACGTACTGCAGCAATGATCGCATTTATGCGTTCGGGGGGTTTGATCAGTTTACCGATGAAGGTTGACTTCCTTAACCTATAATCTTTAAAAATGGCACTAATAATTTTTAGTTTACAACCACGTGCTCAGGCTAGACTTGGAGACTTTGCGCTGGGAGCTCGTGGACAACTACGGCGATATCCCCGGAGTTCGCATGGGTAATGATTCTGTTTTCTCATTCGCCCATGTCTAGTGATAACCACTCTGACTAGAAATATTTATTTTTGATAGGACACACGGCAACATTATACCAAGGGGATAAATTGATTGTCTTTGGAGGCGAAAATGAACATCGCGAATACCTCTCCGACGTCGTCATCCTTGATCTCAATACCTTCACCTGGTCACTTCCTGAAATTCGCGGCTCGATCCCGCGCGGCCGAGCCCGCCATGCTGCTGTCATTCACGAAGACAAGCTTTTCATTGTGGGTGGAGTGACGGGCGTAGGAGGCGTGACAGGGGAGAAGAATGTCATCTTGGACGATTTGACCTACCTGGATCTACAAACATGGACCTGGTCTCGGACATGGAGCTTCACTGCTCGCTTCGATCATACAGCTTGGGTTTGGGGCACACGGTTGTGGATATTTGGTGGATTGGGTCCGAACATGGAACGAACGACTGATATCTGGTGGCTCGACCTCAAGGGATCTCCATCGTTGGCCGGAAACACTACTCCCCAAGGTAGCGTCAACTCCCTGAATGTCAATATTTCTGCGGCTCATCTTTCAGACTCTATTTCTAGCAACACTCGCCAAATGTCTCCCCGCTCCGGGATCTATGCCGCCAATTCAGGCAGTGTGCAGGTACGCAATTTGGGTCGACGCAAGCCAGTTGCACCTGGTGCCATATCTTGTCTTAGGTTTGATTCTGGTCCTCATGTCCCCTCCCTCTTCTCAGGTACTCATTTTCATTCATTTGCCTCGGGTGTCCTGCTCGACTTAATCACACCGTCGGAGACTGTACGGTCGCATGATTGTAACCTGTCTGCTCTGGACCTCAACTCGCTGCGCTGGCAACGGCTGGCTGATGGTCAAGAGATCTTCCGGCCAGGGTATCGATGGCATTACTGCACTGTCAATGATGCGGGGACCAAAGCATGGCTCTTGGGATGTAGTCTTGATGTCGCGAATGCACCGGGAGGTAGCGACGAGAATCATATGAGTGAAGTTCTGACTATCGACCTGGAAAAGTATGGTTTGCTAGGTAACGGCCTGTCGGCAGAACCTCCCGAACAAGGTGCACCGTGGTCGTCTGATCAAATGGGCCCCTCTCAGGCTTCCGGGTTGGGAACCGATCTAGCCGCTGTTTTTGACAACCCCCCTGAGTCTGGAAGTGGTACGGACTTTGTCATCACTGCTATTCGTGACGATCATGACGGGTCCGGATCGGAAGATATGGGCGAGACACCGTCTGTTTCCCCAACCCAGGCCCAGCCGACCTTTGTGGAACAGAATCCCTGGACCTCGGAGCCCATCCATGTCCACCGTATCATTCTCCAGCTCAGGTGGCCACATTTCAAGCGCTTGTACTCCGCCCAGATGGCTGAGTACCACACTAAGCGGATGCACATCCCCGAGCCTTATTCTGTCGTGCGCGCGTTTCTCTATTACCTGTACACAGACAGTATCGCCGGCCATCCAGACTATTGCTCGACCGTTATTGACGTGGCGGGTATGCTTGTTATGGCCAATCTTTATGACATGCCGAAGCTTCGCCTGCTGTGCGTCAATAGGCTAGGCCAAGAGCTTGATGTAGACAACGCGGCCATCGTCTGGGAGCGTGCGGGGCGGACCAATGAGCACTGGCTGATGCGCCGAGCAGCACAGTTTTGCCTAACATACTGGGGCCGCGTGGTACGGACCGACGGTTTCAAATCTCTCAGCCACCAAAGTTTGATCCAACTCTGCGAGGTGGTGGATACAGAAGGTCGCGTCTTCGCAGGGCCTGAATTGGAGATGGTCACATTCGGGACAGATGGCCTAGGTGACCGAGACAAAAGCTCTCAAATGCGGGTGGGATCTACTGCCGACGAGATGTCCGAGGTCGATGCGGACGATGAAGGGATGGAGATCTCATGAATTGCACGAATGGGGCACGCATTATATTCCGGAGTACTTGGCGGGATCATTTCTTTATTAGGTTGTATTGTATTTGCATCTGCTCATCTTTATCGTACAAGTTTTGGATATACACAATGTGACCGGGCCGTTAAACCGCTCTAGGGCTGGCGCTGAGCCCATTCGTCATCACGAGATGTGGAGCCTCTCGACGTTCTTGACGCGGAGTTCACTCCGGATCGCGGAGGTCATTCCTGTCACGATAAGGAAGCTCTCCATAGTGTCTTGCGCTTGGGTTTCAACAAAATAAAAATGAAAAGTTGAAATTATATAAATATTGTTGTGCGCTCGAATTCGAAACAATCTGGTTGGCACACGGCTTCTACAGCTATTCCTTTTTGACATTCACTTCACCATGGGATCCACTGGGCAATCCACTCTTCCTTCGGATTTCCTCTGGGGCTTTGCAACAGCTGCATACCAGATTGAGGGAGGCGCTAACGAAGATGGTCGCGCCCCGTCGATCTGGGATACATTCTGCAAGATCCCCGGCAAGATTGCGGGCGCCGGAACTGGAGATGTAGCTTGCGACTCGTATCACCGCACACACGAGGATATCGCGTTGTTGAAAGAATGCGGTGCTCAGGCATACCGGTTTTCTCTATCATGGTTCGTCTATGCGTGTCCCTTGCTTTGGGCTTCAATAATTAGATCATTTGTTAACCTCCGCTTGTTTAAATCTGTAGGTCCCGCATTATCCCTCTCGGTGGCCGGAACGATCCAATCAACAAGAAAGGCATACAGTTCTACCAGAAGTTCGTAGATGACCTGATTGAAGCGGGCATCACGCCCATGATTACCCTCTTCCACTGGGATCTTCCGGATGAGCTTGACAAGCGCTACGGTGGACCTCTCAACAAAGAGGAATTCGTTGCTGACTTCGCACACTATGCTCGCGTGGTATTCGAGGCCTTTGGATCCAAGGTCAAGTACTGGATTACCTTCAACGAACCTTGGTGCATTAGTGTTCTTGGATACAATAATGGTTCCTTTGCCCCGGGTCACACGAGCGATCGCACCAAGAGCGCTGTGGGAGATAGCTCGACTGAGCCATGGATTGTCACCCACAGCCTGCTAATTGCACACGGAGCTGCGGTGAAGATTTACCGCGATGAATTTAAAGAACGCGACGGTGGTGAGATTGGCATTACGCTGAACGGTATGTCCCCATTGTCCCCGCACCCGTGGACGTACACAGAAGCGTTACTAATTAAAACACTAAATAGGTGACTGGGCCGAGCCCTGGGATTCTGAGAACCCAGCCGACGTGGAAGCCTGTGACCGCAAGATCGAGTTCGCTATCTCATGGTTCGCTGACCCAATCTACCACGGCAAATACCCAGACAGTATGATCAAGCAACTTGGCGACCGCCTACCGAGCTGGACTCCGGAGGAAATTGCCCTTGTCCAAGGCAGCAATGACTTCTACGGCATGAACCACTACTGCGCGAACTTCATCCGCGCCAAGACAGGAGAGCCGGATATCAACGATATCGCGGGTAATCTAGAGCTTCTACTTGAAGACAAGAATGGCGTGAGTGTCGGGCCTATCACACAATCGCCTTGGCTGCGACCATCTGCTATCGGATTCCGGAAGCTGCTCAAGTGGCTCAGTGAGCGATACGGCTATCCTAAGATCTACGTCACCGAGAATGGAACTAGTGTCCTGGGCGAGAACGATATGCCCCTTGAGGAGCTGCTCAATGATGAGTTCCGTGTACAGTATTTCCGGGATTATGTCGGTGCTATGGCTGATGCGTATACCCATGACGGTGTCAATGTGCGGGCTTACATGGCTTGGAGTCTTATGGAGTATGTTTAGACCTTGTGTTCCATCGATGATTTTTGGTATAATATCCCACTAACATGTTTAACTATAGCAACTTCGAATGGGCTGAGGGCTACGAGACCCGCTTCGGTGTTACTTTTGTCGACTATGAGAACGACCAGAAGAGAATCCCAAAGAAGAGCGCCAAGGAGATTAGCCAGATCTTTAGTCGGTTGATTGAGAAGTCCTGAGATGGACGCGGCGCCGATTGATATTTATGCCGGTGGACTCCGGTAACTGCTATGATACCTGGAATCTATACGAGGTTTTTGAATGCACATGATATTTGATTTTCTTCTGCTCCTGATCCGCTTCCTTGTAAATTCATTCGGTTCAATCTGCTTCATCTGTTACTCTTTCAATGCTTAGTTTCTTCTGTAGAAAACGGATTATCTACAGCTCATATCTAATATATCAATTTGTTCGCAGCTAGGTTGTCTTATAGTATATAAAAATATAAACCACAGATTGACCTGAGCGCTGCTACTTCTATTTGACCCTGTGTCTCTATCAGGTTTTTATTTATTGAATATAAACCAAAGCTACTCTATTGCGAAATTGTAGAGTTACAAGCAAACAATTCTCTTTACTTCCCAAAAAGGCAATATTAATGCCTGAGGAACCCACGATGCGTAAGGATTTACCTACCCCCTAAGAGCATTTCTAATGCTACTATGAATGGATTATCCTTTCATTCCCATATAATCAAGTTTTGCCTAGATCTCCATGTGGATTGGAAGATATATACCTAACGTGAATTCTGATACCCGGGAGCCAAGTAAATCCGCCTCCGAATGAGATATTCTCTCCATTCGCGTAGAGCTTAATTTACTTATATTTAATTCAGTCGCCAAGAACAATATGGATATATCCCAAATATCCAAGCAGCTTGTGCCGGCGCCCAAGAGATTTCCAGACTGCTGCTTGGGAATCTCCAGCACTTTGATCACCTACCTTGCTTCGCTCCTACCAAAAAAACCTGAATTCACCATCTCAATCGGCAGCGGATCTGGTCTCCTCGAAGGTCTCATTGTGGATTACGACAAAAATGTGTCAGTGGAGGGTGTTGAGGTGGATTCAACTATTAATCGGTACATCGCCGAAGAAGACATGAATATCGTTGGCGGAGGTTGGGGCCTTTGGTCTGCTGCCCAAAAGGCGGCAGTGTGGATGTTTGTCTACCCACGCGATCCAAAACTCATCACCAAGTACATTGATACTTATGGTGATCAAAATGTTAATTTCATTGTCTGGCTTGGGCCTCGGGTCGATTGGCCAGACTATGAGCCGCGTTTTTGTCAATCTTCATTCTCCGAGTTGAGCTTTCCAGATCATATCGGACTAACACCATATGAGACTGTGGTTATTGCTAGAAGACCAACTTGATATGGAGCCATTCCGCTTTCTGACTTTGGAAGATCATGTTATACACCTGGTGCATTGGAGGGGATATTTTTATTTTGTAATTTAATGATAGCCTTTTCCCTCCTACATACTTATATATATGTCTTTTTTTGTGAAATGCTTCCCCCTTGTTGGTGTAGTAAATAGAACATAGGGGATGAAAACGGCTTAAAATTACTTTCCTATGTATAACCAGTGATCACTACAACTTATACTACAACTCTCTTCCCTGCCTCAACGTATACAAAAGTCGATCCTTTTCCGTCTTCCTTCATTTCTTTTTCCCATCCCCGATTATCAACATCAACCACTCTCACTTCCCAAGTCACTTATTTTTATCACTCGCCATCGAAGTCACCCTCTCTCATATTCAGAGCCTTTCCTTTCTTGGATATCTTGCGTCCAAAGTCAATCCAAACGATCATCGCACTAAAGCAACAACCAGAACTTCACATTCTTAATGGCAATTCACTCGCGCACCAAGGGGCCCATCCTAGCCTTCTAGGTGTTCTTTGTGCTGTGGTAGAAAAGCAACCATTCCATTTACTGCTAAATCTATAATTTTCTGTCATATAAAGGCCTATTCCTGCCTCCCCCTTCGGAATTTCATAGCATTAACTATGATACCATATTGCTCTTCCTACTATCATTTCGATACCACTAGAACTATTTGATATTTTGACTATGGGTTTTGTTTTTCTACTCTCTCTCTTCTCCCGCACCCAACTTGTACGAGCACATTTTCTGCTACTATATACAGGCCTGAATGAGGCTCGTTGTCTTTCAACTGGCTTGAAAAAATGGACACTAGAAATCCTTCTGCTTCTTATATATTCAACTCTTCTGCCCAGGCCTCACTCTTCATTCAATATCTACCCTTCTCCAACCCCCAGTATAACCCTTAGCTCTTGTTTGGTAAGCCATATCATCATTAATTGCTACTTGTCGACTCATTCACCCACTGACACTGGATTTCTCAGGATTTTTTTCCTACCCCGATCATGGATTCCAATTTACCTCAGCCACGTCCAATTTTGCATTGATTCATGAAAATACTAAGGCATTCAAGACGCCTTCCTGTTCTATGAGACTGTCAACGATGGAGACAACGGGGGCGGCAACGAGTTCAACCTTTCCCGGCTGGAAATCTGTGAGCTGTGTTGCCGAAGGATATCACCTTTGACCTCAACAAAGAACCAAAAGATGTGTGCCTAGACAGATTCCACCAGACGCTAGGCAATATCTTTGGTTTTCTAGCGAAAAACGCAGAGAAAACAACCTCAGAGGAGTCAGACGAAGTGTGGATCTGTCGAGAACTCATGCAACTCATTGGGAAGTATTCCCCTGAAGAGATTCTACAAATCTTCGAACTGGTCATCCCCGAGTCAACTAGGGTGATACTCGGGGGTTTCAGCCGCCTGAGCATATTCTAGCAATGCCAAAGTTTGAGCCATCGCTATCTCTTCCAGAGGTCTATTTGATTACGTCCACAAAAGGAATGGATGGGTAGCCCCAATTATCTGGTGGAGGATCGATCAACTCCATAGATGCTACGGACCAGCAACCCAAGGTTGCTAGTGGGCTATATGCGGGATTCAGCATCGAAAGTCATTCCAAGTGGTACATTGACCACGGTATTCTGTCTACTCAAATTCGGACTCAGAAGTTGATCGATGATCGATATCCGGCTAGTAGAAAGAGGGTGATTCCTTTCTGCGTTAACTTTTTTCAGACTCATAGGCTACAACTTAGCTTCTTCAACTACTCAATTCGTATCTCACATTTTTCAGATATTGTAAGATACCTCCTACTCTACTTAGCCCCTTAAATGATTATTGGCCATGCCTAGCTGTCTCTGAAAGTAATTCATCATATATTAATTCTAAAGCGCGAGACTAAGCTCAAAGCGCATACCTAAAATGCTTGGACTCCCTATCCGTCAAATCGTTAAAGCCATCCAAAATACCCTGAGAGGCAATATCCTCGGGTGTCTCATCAATACCAGCCGCAACCATTGCAGCATCCCTCCTTGCATTCTCCCATTTCATCGACATATATGACGCACATGCTAGAACAATAATACCTGCATAGCAGATGAGCAGGCCCAGCAGACCCGAGTAATAGCGCGGGGCCTCGCGAGCGAAGAAGATATTCGCTCCGGCGACATTACCAGCCGCATACAGCGAGAACCAGAGACCGTTAGCGACCGCACGCTTGGTGTGGCCGGCAACATTGGTGGCAAGTAAATTCCATGAGATGATGACGGGGGCACCAATGAGATACTGCAGCCAGGTGCATCCGACCAAAGTCCAACGATGGTCAAGACCAGTGAAGCGGATACCCAGAAGTCCAGCGAAGGGAATCAGACAGACGACTCCAAGAACGATGCAGCGTGAATCTTTAACGTATGTAGCGATGATACCGCAGATTGGAACAACCGCGGCTTCGACCGCACCCGTGGGGAGTTGGAGGAGTGTGGCGTTGATCCCACTGAAGCCAAAGCCTTTGATCAAGGCTGATGCGAAATTTGATGAGCCACCGTTGATCACACCGCACGCGATGCCGACTCCTGCGCAGCAGAGGACTCGGAAGTCGTAGAGGATCTCCAGTGCCTGGCGTGGTTTGATGTCTCGGGTCTTCACGCCGATCATGTTCTCGGCGACACGCTGCACGGCGATCACGCGCTGTCGATGGGTCAAGAAGCGGGCAGAACTGGGCGAGTCGGGCATGACCCAGAGGAAGATACAGGCGCAGAGGAAGTTGAGTAGTCCAATAGTTAAGAAAATCAATTGCCAGCTGCGGAGCGTGGTGTTGTGTGAATGGCCGAGGCCGAATCCTAGTAGCGCTCCCACCATTGTGGCCATGCCGTTTGCGCTTAGCCAGACAGCCATGCGCAATGGTTGTTCAGAGCGCTTGTAGAACATTGAAGTAAGGTTCATCACTAGATAAAACAAATCATGTTAGTGCTTTTTATGTTTTTGGTTTGTGATGTAGGCTACTTACTGCACGGACTGACTCCGGCTTCCGCCATGCCCAAGAGGAATCTCAATACCAAAATTCCTGGGTAGTTCTTTGCTCCAACATGTGAAATAACGAGTACACTCCAGATCAGAAGCATACCGCCCATATATTTTGCGATTGGCAATCGCTGGATTAGGAGGTTGGCTGGGAGGGCCCAGAATAGATAGCCGAAATTGAAAATAGCTGCAACCCATGAATATCGTTGGCCTTCAAGACCAAGGTCTGGAATCAAGGAGTATGCCGATGCATAATTAAGTGATAGTTTGTCTACACGAACATGTTAGTTATAGAATAACAAGGGGGAAATCATCATCTCGCATACCGAGGAATTGAATAACATAGGTCAGATAGAGCTAGAACAAGACAGACTGTCAGAAGTAACACTCATCAAATTATCAGTGTAATAACTCACCATGGGCATAATCCGCCAGTCAATAATCTTCAGCACCTCAGCGCCCTCGATCTCCAGTTCCTCGGGAGTTAATTGCTCTGCCTCCAGGTATAGATTCGCTCCAATATCGTGAGTCTCGCCGAGTGCAACCTGTGCAACATCTTTCTCCGCAGTGGAGTGATCCACCTTTGTATCGTTGGGGTTCATTATAAGTAGCGGGGGTCAGTTGAACAGAACTGAGAAATCCCCATCAAAGTCCAGCACCTTATTATATATAACCCCAGCATGGAATATGACTCGCTATCTCCGCCAAGAAGATAAGCATCGTGGTTTCTCTATCTGCGAGTTTATCTTTGGTCAAGTCGTTGAGATAGG